TATGAGGTAAGAGAGGCAGTCCAGAGGGTTAGGGTCCAATGGGAGTAAGGTAAAATGGTGCAAAAGTGGGGTTAGGGAGAGCCATTGGGGATTGACTGGAGCTAAAACAAGACCAATGGGGATTCAGGGACAGGAGAACATTCTAGAGGATATACATAAATAGAAATGAGAGCTGAATACGGGTGGTCAGAGCCAATGGGCCAATGGGACAACAGAACTCGGAGGGAATTAATATATGAACAAAAAGGCCTGTGTGAAAGAGGCTTCTCACCCTAACCTTGGGATGTATTACTTATTGTAACCTTTCAAAGGTCAAGGGACGATTTTAGTAAGTAGTCCTTGGGCCTCCATGACTAGTTACTTGCAATATTTTTTCTTAAGACTTCTGCAAACTGTTTTCCATCCTAAAAAATATATGTCAATTATTATATTTCATAATCATCTGGAAAAATATTGGAGTCCAGTGTTATACAGGCTATACTGTAATACAAGGCTGGCCTAAATTCGTTCATATTATACCTATGCATAACTTTTAAAAATTTTGTTTGTAAAAATCCTGTCACATCCTACTGAAAATCTCAGCAAACTCCTAGAAAATTCTGGGTCTCTTACTTCTGAGTTTGACTAGCAACAAATTCCTGCTTGGAAATTTTTCAGTTGTTTTCTTCTGGAAAGACATCTCTTTGATCTGAATATGTACAGGCTATCCGGGAGGCACTTAAGTGGATTTTTTTTGAGAAGTTAAAGAGTCTGGCCTCCTGGAGTCTCTCTTGTCAGGTACATTTTCCTGCTGGTGTCAATTCTTTCTTCTCAATTCTGTGAAGATTATACATTTTTTTCTTCACCTGAAAATGACAGAAGTTTTTTGAAGAAATATATATTTAGGAGGAGTACCCAATTCTTGCATGCTCCAAAGTCAACAATATTCTGTGTATGTCTGTTACGATATTGACCAAGGAATAAACAGGAACAGCATGCAAGAATTTAGACAGTTCCTCAAGCAACTTCTTGGAGGGTTTTCCAGGCTTGTAGGTTTTGTTTCTTGGTGGACTTCGCACTTTTGTTGAATCCTGCTTTTGTACAATCCTACCATGATGCTGGGGGTGGCATGTCTCCAGATACAGCAAACTTGTTTGTACCCACTGTGGTTGACACAGTCCAGAAATACAAAATTCAGAGCCTTATCCCCACTGACAGTGAAGCAAAACTAATCACAGGACCTTCAAAGAAAATACTAATTCAGGCAAAAGACCACCTACAATTCCTTCTTCATGGATCAGCTCCATAAACTGGGTAATAAACCCAAAATTCTCACCTATGAAATTCTATTAAGCAAATATAGGCTTTGAAAGCTTGTGTGCCATCATAAAAAATAGCACAATCCAATTGGATTAAGACATATACATGTGTCAGCATCTGATCATCCTCTACTCATACAGTACAGTATATACATACATACGTAGGATTTGTTTCAGTGAGTATAGGATCAAAAATCATGTTTACAAATCCTAGACTAAAACTTAAGCATTCAAATGTCTGTAGTCAATACTGAAAAAGTAATTTCTACATAGTGCCATATGCTTCCTAGGTTTGTGGCCTGAAAAGAGAATTCACAGATCCATGTAAATGGTCACTATCTTTAATTAGAAACTGACATTACATTTACAAATGTTTTGTTCCTCAAGTTGTGGTCTATTTACTGCTAGCAGTCTTTAAGATAAAAGGTCCATGAAACTGTCTTGTTCAAGCCTATCAAGCATTCTTAACTACTGCTCTTAAAGATGCAGGACCTTTTAATGTTTGTATGGTAACTGTGACATTTTCAACTCAAGAAATTATAACACTTTACATATAATATAACTACAGTTTGGATTCTTTCATTAAAGCCCAATTTTTCAAGTCTGCAGCTAAACTCTTCTAGCTTGACTATGATCTTCTGATTTTCTTTTATAAAATGCCTCTTTTTTTTTAATTTGAAACTGGTAGGTTCAAATGGCTGAATTAAAACATAAGTCATGGCTTTTATTTATGATTAGAAAGTGCATGCTCATTTGTTTAATGTGATTGAACTTTGCTTGTCAATCCATGTCCTAACTTTCTGTACATTTTGTCCAGGAATAGTTTTAGCTGCTATCAGCACAACTGTGGGAAACTAGATGACACGTTACTGGTTATGAAGTACCAGAAGATATTTTTCAGCTCTTTAAATGTGCTGTGGCATTAGGAAACATGGGATTCAGCTGGAAGTAACACTGAGCCAACAGTCAACGAGACAAGGTTAAATGACAAATCACTAAAGTATGGAAACAAAGGAAGCAAAGTAGCTCAGTTTCTCATTTCCTCTTCCTCTCCTGCAAAAAATGTCAAAATTATACATGCCAAGCAATAATAAGAAATGCTCATAAGATCTTATTTTGACTCTGTTGAGAGCAAATAATGAAGGCACTCTAAGTGCTTCTCCCAGTAAACAATGCTTGCTTTGACTTCACTATCATCACTGGCAAACACACTAGCACTGGTGAGCTCAGCAGAAAAACATGTGACAGAGTAACCTTGGGATGTGAGTGACAGTCTGAAATGGAACAATATGCACTCCTATGTCAGTGATTTTTGTATTTCTACATAGTTTGGAAATCATTATTCCCATGAAGTTGCAGAGAGAAGGGAATCGCACAGCCTTTAAGATCCTTCCAAGGACTGTTGGCTCCAGCTGAGTTTCTGCATGCTCTGGTCTCACCATCAGCCCTCACAGCCCAATGCTGACTTTACTTTGTGTGTGGTAAGGCTCACCATTTCTCAAATTCAGAACTCAGCAGCAATCACTGACTAGCAGAGACAGCTCTTCATTTGACAGATCCTCATTTCCCTTTTTAAAAGATGATGTGGAAAACATACTCTAGGCTTATGGCTTCAGGAGTTCCTCTAAAATGGTATTTCTGGTTAAGACATAATGTACACTTAATATTGGTACTTTTTTATTGTTCATAAACATTCAGCTCATCAGAGAGATTTTACTGCTTTTTGGGAAAAAAAATCCAGAAACCAAAAAATATACAAGTGTAGGGCTGACAATGAAACACAGAAAACATGTTCTGGGTGAAATCTCTGAAATCTAAAATTGTCAAGACAATAAGCCTAACTTTCAGAATGAAACACAGGGACTTCCATATATAAATCCCACCACGAGACAGAGCTGAATTTCTAATGCCAAACTCTGCAGTGACTCTGCAAAGGCTTAATTTATTTAAAATATGTTTTTGCTCTTGAAGTGGATGTAGTGAATCTCGATGACCCAATAAGGCAGATGTAGCCAAAAAATGCTTATAGTGTCTAAGAAAAGAGAATATTCCAAGAAGAGGAAGAGGGGACACAAAGGTGAGATTGTATGATATCCATAATCCTCTAATTACCAAACCACTTGTTAGTGAGCCAGCACTTGGTGTGATTTAGAACAGCCTCAGGGGCTTGTCAGCCAGCAGCTCCTAGGAGCCAGTCTAACAATCACAAACTAGTGCCCCTGTTCTTCTGTCCTCAGGCTACATGCCTTCTTCCCAGCCAAAAGGAGGAGGGATGGCACTGGTCCAGCTCTGACAGCACCTCATCTTATGCTGGAGACACTAAGAACAGATCTGCAGGGTTTACACAGCTTTGTTCCGTAGAACAGAAACTGAACCTTTGACTCCTGAAGATATCTATCTTTAGACTATACAATCCTCATTCCAAAGATGAAAGGGCTGCTGAGGTACCATTGATTGTTTTGGAATTTATTTTCACCAAAGAATGCTGGTACTTCTCCAGTCTGAATTAACAACACGCCAGGGCTGGAGCCAGGAGTTTCTCTAATAACAGAACAAAGACTTCTTGTTTCACTTACTCCACAAATCACACAGCTTGATTGCTTGGAAAAGAAAAGTTGTTGGTACCCATATTTCATTTTAGTGTGTATGAAAGCACTCACTTCCTCTGATTTGCAAGTACAATAGTAAGTGTGAATGCTCTGAGAAAAGTCACATCAATCACATAATACATAACAGACAACTCTAGGCCTTAAGCCCATACATGAGGTACAGTTTCTTTCATGGTATCAGGAAGCCTAGACTCCTAGTTCACAACTTGTACTGGATTATGTCATACCTTTTGAATAACCTCACCACTTAATAAAATGCTTCAGAGTAAGTAAAATAATAATTGCTCTCTGCTGTACCTTGTGAAAGGGAGTATTACTTTTTTCATATGTTTAGCCCATTCCTATACCAATGTGTTTTGGCACTCATTCCTCCACATAACGTAACAGCATTTTTCTAAATAGCACCTTCAAACACATTCTCCATGGCTTTTTTGTATAATACCCAGTCTTCCAGCTAGCACTGGCTCTCTGTTATGGCCACACTTGGCATACAGAGGGCAGGGTGGTATTTTATGCCAGCCATCTGGCACATCATGCTCATTTTGTCTTGACATTAAAATGTTTTCTTTTACAAAGTTCATGACCAAGATGTGCTTCTCTGACTTACAAATTTTTTGACATGAGTTTACTGAGCTGAGGATAAATTATATGGTCAGTATCATTCTTAAATAAAAAGAGGGCACTTCTGGGTGTTTTTCTAAAAACAACCTGTGTCTGCTTCTACCACATGACTGTATTCCTTTACATGAGCAGGTTTCACTTGTAGCAGTCAAGGGCTTCATAAGATGCAGTTACATATGGATGTGAACACTGGAGTGCTCCAAACAAAAAAAAGCCCAAAAAACTGGAGAACCCAAACAAAAATGAAAAAACTTAAAGGAGCTACTTGGTTTCACTGGTTAGTCAAGTTCGGCTAAAGGTCCTTACACCAACCAGAGATTCTCTGACACAGGAGAAGCAAAATTTTGTTTTCAACAAAGTAATTTTCAGTATTTGACTTTACACTTTAGTAGCAACTGCTGATTTTTACTCTGGAGACTTTTGGAGCACATGATATCATTACACAATAAAGTTTTGGTGACCATGTCTCTCCAGATGAATTTTATTTCTCTCATTGTTTGTCTGAAAGGCATGGATACATGTGTGTCTATTTATGCACACACACACAAACACACACACGAACACTTTATTTAGCTTAGGATAAATGTGTGTGTGTCTATGTATGTGTGAGCAGACAAGCATTTGTATGCATGTGTGCTACATCCACTTCACTTTGCACGTTTTGGTTTACAGGACCTCTGGTGGACAATCAGTCTGTCTGGAAGAAAAGTACGCCCACAAATATCACATGGAACTAGCTGGGCTTGGGCACTGGTCCAGGCAGCCTTATTTAAAGCATCAAGATCATAGAAACCTTTGGCTGGAAAATAAGAAAAAAAAAGTATCAACTTTCATTCTGGAGACCCACATTCAACTCTTTACGGAAAATATTTTCAGGAAATACCTGTTGACTGAGCAACCAAATCATATTGCTTTTGGAAATGAAAAAGAAAAGAAAGAAGAAAAAGAGTAAAAATTATATTAAAAAGACTGTTTTTTGTCCCAAGGGTTGAATTAAATTAACTTCAAACTGAATAATTTTGTCTTGTATGAGAGTACAGAGAAAACATCATGCTGTGTGTTATGATCTTATTCTCAGCTAATTATTAACATCTTTGCATACCTACTATTATCAGCAAATTCACTTTTTGGCTTTGCTTCAAGCTCTGTTTAACAAGCATGTGTTATCTGACCATGGCTATGGGGGGGAACATATTGTACTTGAGAAAATACTCTTTGTACTTCTCTGGACAAGGGCCCCAATTTTCTTCCTGTTAGAATCTATGTAAATTATACTAAAAAGTGGAGTAAAACTTAGATAAGCCAAAAACCTTGCAGACAAAAGCTACAGTACTTTAAAGCCACAACTTCCTGTGAGGTCATTGCATTGATGCATCTATTGTCATCTAAACATGAATCCAGCCTTACTCTCAGTTATTTTCCACTGCGGGAAGAAAACTGCTCTGAAAACTCAGGACCATTCTTCAAAAACTCAGATGTGTTTTCAAGATTTAATTTGGTTAAAAAAAAAAAATCTTGTTAACTTCCATCTTGAAATGGACTTTCCTTTTGAAATGGATTTTCACATAGTGCTGTTCCAAACTGATTTGCGAAAAGGCCAGGCAGGTTGCTTAATACCTGGATTCCTGGATTTAGATCTTAAGGATTTTCATTTGAAGTGCATGCAGAAAAAAATCTACATGGCTCAAATTGAAAACATGACATGACAATATAGAAAAAGATTTTAAAATCTGTTTTTTTTTTCCTTTACACTGTTAGCAGTGAACAATTTTTGAAAGAAAAGTATTTGTGCATTTAAAAATAATCCATGGTTTCTGTCATTGGCACATAATAGAGCTCCTCATTAAAGGCCCATACAATTTTAATATGATTCATATCCAATGGTTCACATAACCACAATAAGCCTTAGATCTCTTAATATGCCTGTTCCTAATGTTCTTTTTGTTAGAAGAGCAACCAAGTAGTGTTTCTTTTCTTGGCTGAGACAAATACCCCTTTGCTTTCAGGAAATGAATGTGTATTTTCTGTACTTTGGAAAGTTTATGGAATATTAAAAAAAAATAAAAAAAAAAGGAGAGGGAGAAAGAGAGATGACTTTCTCCTTGCAGGCATGTGTTAGGCATTCCACAAACAAAACACTGTGTAATGAGGGCAGTGGTTGTCTTCCCTTGAGTTTTCAGAAAACTTATAACTTTTATAACTTTATGTAAGTTATAAAAAATTTTATGTAAGCACTTAGTATTTCTGAGCTTTTTTTTGAACATTGCCTGTTTCATTCAACAACAGGGTAATCCCTCCCCCCTGAGCTGAGAAACTTTGAGACATGCAGTGCATGCATGTGGTCTGAAGGTCAGTTAAAGCATTTACCACATGATCAAGAGTAAGCCTTATGGAAAAAGAACAACACTGAGATTATTTTCTCAAGGCCAGGAATATGAGGCAGCTGCAGGGGGAACAACTATTTTAGCTCAAGCTACAGAACTGATCAGGCTTGCATCAGCAGGCATTTAGGGACAGATGCGGAAAGCAGGTCAGTATCCCCAGAGGAACCGTGGGCACACAACACCTCACAGGAGATTGGTGGCATTTGATATGACTCACTGTGTAAATGAGACAACTTTCTGATCTCTATCTGGGAGCCTTCTGCTCGATTGTTTTTTCAGAGTGGTTGTCTTTCTGCTTTCACTCCTTTAAAATAATAGTGTATTTCAAAATAACCTGATTTGCCTTTTTGCATCCCCCTCTTTCACATGGAATTCTCATTTTTTCCATCTATTTTACCACCCTATGCATAATAATTAAAAAGTGCTTAACATCTAAAAAGGCAAATACAATGAAGACATCTTTTGAACACATCTTTTACTGCAGATTTTACTATGCTACTTGGCATCTGTTAACCAAGTTCCGATTTTATATTACTTCAACTTTGATGATTACTTTGAACATCTGGTTAGTGTTCTCAGTGATCCTGATCTCATCTGCATGTCTTCTGAGGATATATTTCTTTGTACTGCTGTAAACTGATCTATTGTATGACTCTTTCACAAGTGAGTTGTAGGAGACATTGTCTACTTTTCCAGACATTATGGGAAGCTGAGGGAAATTGTAGGGAATATAAAAAAAAGTGTGTGTGAATTAAATGCCTGTGAGGAAGTGGTCCAAACTTGGCCCAAAGTAGTTCAGACCAGCTGGCAGAGCCAGGGAAAGCATCCAGCAAGAAAGGTGAAATAACTTTATATGGGAATAGGAAGTTGTGGGAACAGCTTCCAGGCAAAGCATAGATAGGAATTTCTTTTCATCCTAGAGTGAACATACAACCCTCAGACACATATGACATCCTATCTCTGGAGATGCTGGGGATCATCAGTGTTCACTGATTTGAAGAAGTGGAACCTTACAAAACAGAACCCACAGCACAAACATGTAAAATTGGCAAAAATTAATTGTTTGCTTTGTACTACATATGTATTTTTCCCCACTGTGTGTATATTACAGTGTCTCACAATGAAAGCTTCTCAGACTTGTAAATAAAAAGGGATCAATATGGGTTGTTGACTGTAGAAGAATCTGGCTGAAGTATCTACAGCTATGTTGCCTGAGGGCATTTTATTTTAATGATTCTGTGTCGTGTCTGCACATTATTCTTGGATGTTTTTGCTTAAGACAGGCCTGTGTTAAAAGAAGTCAAAAAGTAGTAGTGTAGCTATGAAGCATTTTGCTAATCTATTTGTGTTTTGATTCAGGACACACTGACACATAGAGGGGAATGCCACCAGAGCCATCTTCCATGGATAGTGACTACTTTTACTTTCAAGACTTTATTAAAATAAAGTTTTCTTTCTGTGAAGCAGAAGGAAAGCTTAAAACAAACTGGAGAACAAAGTACTTGTAAACTGTTTACCTATTGCTTTAAAATATCTTTTTTAATTCCTCTCACTTATTTGCTCATCTCTCTTAATTTGGTCTGTAGCTTACCTTGCACAGTTCTGACTTCAGGTTTTTTGGGTTCTGGCCTTCTCAAGTGCTTGGGGAGGTTGTCATTCTCCCGACGCCATTTTTTCAGGCATTGTGGCTCATGTATACTAATAGATTTTGTTCCATACTCACGGCCACATATGTAGCAAATCACTGTTGGTGGCCGTCTTATCACTTTTGCCTGCAAATAACCATGAAGAAGAAGAAATAATGTTTTCAATATTCATTTTGAATCAGAATTACTTGTATGAAAGCAATCATGTAGATAAGGAACATGCTACCTGTGAAATCTGTGTAATTTTTTTCAGTCTAGTTTTGTCTGGAATCAATACTGCCTCATTAAGTGAGCACCTGGAACAGGAGGGTTTCTTCTGCAGATGCTGGGCTGACAGATGTGTGTGACTAATCTATACTTAGCTGTGTTAAGTTTCACTTCTTTTATTTTCATACCTTCAAGTTCATGAAAATGGTAAGTCTTCACATGCAGAGAAAACATCTCTGCTTCATCAGGTTGCAATGCAGCATCCACCTTAAATGGCTGAAGCCGTTTTTTACTTACCAAGCAGATGTAAAAGGGAAAGCAGCAACAAAAGCTTCATGAGCTGAACTTTTCACTTCTAGTACAATAACAGAAAGACTCCATTTTCTATCAGAACATAGCTCAAAGTGCTGTGATACTAAAGCCTTAGTATCTCTCTTAAGCTGGAAAGTGAGGTCAGCTCTCCCAAGAGGTGATTGTGGTTCTTTACCCAACTTTCAACACAGATCAGTTAGCTGGTGGAATTCTTGGCCTTCAAATATTAAAACCAAGCCAGGATATTTCAGGATGAGGGGCAAAATAGGAACTGCTGTTTGTTTATCCCAAAGGCCTTAGTGTGAACCTTGCCAGTGACTGCAGCAAGGGCAGAACTGGACTCTAAGCAAGTCATTGTTTCCACATTGAAGATCTGCTTTTGTTCTCAGAGGAAAACAGCTCAACAACAGAAGAAAAAGATTCCTCAACCTCAAACCTCACAAATACATAATCTAAGGCTGGAAAATGTATAATTACTGTAGTATTGCAGATTATGGACTCAGCTGTGTCCTTAGGCGCATCTTGGGCTAGGCGTGGTGTCAGTACCAGGCTCAGTGCTCAGGAAGTAGGATAAAAACATGCTGTAGAGAAGAACTTTGAGGCACACAGATGGGTTTCACAACTGCCAGTACTTCCTACACTTCTGACTGCAGAATACCAGTAAGAGATGAGCTATTCCCTGCCCTCCTCAAATTAGACGGACAGCCATGCCAGACCAAATACAGGAAAACCTTTCTCACTCAAACAAGAGTGGTGGGGGTTTTCATTTTTTTCCTCTGCTGCTGTGCAAGACAAAGCATAACCTGTTCCCATATTTATTACTCTTTCTGTCAGCCCATCAATGTGTTCATGAAATTCTGGGCAGCTCTTCTCGTATTTATGTTACAGTCTGAAAATGTCATTAGTGAACAATCTGCATAAGATTGCCTTCCTGTATCACACATGTAATCTCACTTACATGAAAGAAATACTACTCTATAAAGTCTATTTTTTCTGGGAAAAGTTGGACTTCATCTGGAAAGTTCTCACAGTGTCTTGAAACATAACATCCAAAGACAGACTCTCCGAGGACATTTTCATCATCTTGACTTACAAATGGAATTTCCTTGCTATCTTTGATAACACAGTATTTTATATAAGCATATTTTCTAATATATATAAAAATACAGCCTTCTTCTCCTATTTTTTAGATTAATACAGCCACAGCTATTTTAAAAACATCTTATAACTTTTCATTATCAAATTTCCCCTACTTCTTTACTTCAAGCTGTGAGCTAGAACTAGTCTGATTTTAAAGTAAGACTCTGGGTCCAGATACAGAGTCTTCTGAAGACAATATACATTTATTTGTAGGCTCTGGAGAGCTTTAGATAAGGATACTACAATCTAAACTCCTGAGGTCAGAGAATTCTTTTTAGTGTGCATGCCTGTTGTGGGTATGGTTATTCTATTTTAGAAATGGTTTTTTACAAAATGATAGGTGTAAAATCACTGGGAACACACTTTCCCCAAGAGTTCTCATTAGCCGGGTTCCTGCTATTAATTTAAATGGTTACTTATCGGCTGCAAACTAGGAAAGAGCCATTTGATTTATATTCAGATTGTAGGGACTCTTCATATGGTAACAGAAAAAGAAAAAGAAATCCTAGTACAAATGCAGGAATCTTCTCAAGTAGAACTGTCTGTCTTTTGCAATTTCCACATCTACAAATAGTACAGAATCAACAGGAGAAAGCACAATTAATTAAGAGAAATCAGATCACTCTTAGGATAGAATTGTTTTTATTCCAGAAAAATACTGAGATTGACCCATCACCATACATACAATTATATACACAAATTCTTCTCTGCACTCATGTTTAAGACCTGAAAGAGATTAGCCTAACAATCGGTACTAACAGATTTTTCTTTTTTAAATGTAGAATCCAAGATATTATAAGCTTTACTTGGAATTTCTACAGCTGATTATATTTACCCTTCATTTCTTTTTGTTTTCAGTGTGCCTATCCCAAATGTAACATCTGGTGGCCTGCAGTTTGAAACTAAACTATTTTTGGAAACACCACAGTTTTCCAACCCAAACTACTCACAAGCCAGTGGCTAGGCTCTCTGTTCACTGCTTTGTTTTTAACTTTCAAAAAGAGTTGTAGGGAAGGTCTGTTCCTGAGGATACGTGTTATTATAAAAATACCTACAAATACCTAACAGTGTAGTTAGGCTTTCCTCTGGTGTCTCAGTATTTTCTTTTTTACTCCAAGACTGCTAAGTATGTCTGTGTGACTATGAATGAAGTTATTTAGTTCAGAGTGCTATGCAACTATGTATTTTCAATAGACCTGACATTACTTAAGGTTAGCCCCAGGCTGCTGTTTTGGTGTTACATGAGGTCAAATCCTTCCATACTGCACAAAGCTTTTTATTTTTTCTTAAGTACACACAATAAGACTGAATCCCAAACTTCCCTACAAAAATATTTATCATCCAGGACTGCACACACCTCTTCCCTTATTATTTAATTATCCATTTATTTTAATGGGAAGAGGGGGGGCTCCATCCTGCTCTAGGATGGAGCTCATCATAGACTTGAATTGCCCATGGATTAGAGGTTCAGGAGAAGAATGGTGCAAGCACTTAGCAGCAGCATTCTATTGTATGAAAGCAACCCTTTTCATACATTCCTCTCTGCCAAGTAAAAAGCATTTTGCATAAGGATCACAGACAAGGTATAGTATGGGTCTCATGACTGTCCAAAGCTGCACTTCACAGCCTACAACAGCACTCATGTTAGGATCATATGCCTTGAACAGCAAGCTAATTCTGCAAGATTATGCATACAATTAAAAATATCACTCCACTGGAAGCATGAGATATCCCATTTTGCTCCTGATGTGCTTTCTTTTTAAATTGAGTACGTCAATACAATGAATAGCACGTCCATGTAGAAGCAAAGGAAGGACACAGTGATTCCCAATGATAATACTCAGTAAGTTTCATTCAAACCATCCATTCACTGTTGATTCTCATATAACTTTCTATATTTGCAAATTTATTTGTCAGTATTCTCCTAGCAAGGTATTCAACACCACTGCAATGTGGCAAAGAAAGCTCATCATTGAGCTTCCACCTTCATTAGAATTATACTGCACCTGAAGAAGCCTTCCCTTTACCAAGATGCTACATGGCTTTATGTTAGAGCAAAATACAACATCAAAGCTCTTGCTACACAAATTTTCAAGACTTACACTTAAAATGTATTACAATTCACCAAAGGAAGATCAGTGAAATCTTTTTAGGTAGTTACCCAGATAAGAAGAAAACAGCAGATGGCAGCACCATCTAATTGGCTTTTAAGATCAGCATTATCTACTGTCAAAAACCCTATAACTCATATATGCACAGCAAATTATTGATGCTCACTTACATGTATCACATATTTTTGTCTATGAAACAATAGAACATAGACTCTGTTTCAGTCCAAGTCTGAGTTTCAGTAGCTGCAAACACCACTTCCATTGTTTGAGGTGTCCACAGCAGAATCCAAAGCAGAATTTCTGAGCTGATGTGACCCTTGAGAGTATCTAAGCATAGGCTGTTATTCTACACAGCAAGACATGATTAACTCAGATGTCTTCAATGATTCTGAGAATGAGGACAGGTACTGGAAGAGATAGCTTACAGAGGCTGTTCAGCCTTCACCTCTAAAGACATTTAATGCAGAACTGAGAAAGAGTTCTACTGGCCAAGTTGATGCCACACTTGCTAAAGGGGAGGGAACTCCAGGGCATAAAGGCAGAGGCATACAGGGAGAAGTGCTTGCAGTTGAAAAGTTAAAATGCACTTTACATGGTATACCACTAAATCAGTCAGAACTTTATTTTGGAAATTAGGAAGATACAGGTTTTTAATTTAGGGCATCTTTCATTGCATAAATTTACTTAACAGTAGCACTAATTCTCTTAAATATACAAGGGCTGGGTGTTTTTTTTTTTTTTTCAGTTATTGCTTTCCTCTGATGTTCTGCTGAATCAGGACTTTTAAGCAAGTACTTAAATAATTCACTGTCACAGTGAGTCTGTTAGATGAGACAGGGACTGCCCCAAATGCTTTCCAGCCAGGACCAGAACAGTAGCCATTTCACTTCACCACTAGTGAAGCACTGTTTTTTAACAGTATTAATAAGCAGCCGAGTAGCTGGTAAGGTGAGCAAAATGAAAACCATATGCTGGAAAAAGAGGAAGACTTTAGTGGAGACACAGACCTTGTCCCTGCTCATAACTAATCTGCAGTTATTGCATAAGCTTAGTGCTTTTCCATACCCTTCAATGTGTGGACATTTCAAAATGTTCAGATGGAAATGAAGATTCTCTCACAGAGAATTTAAATTTACAGGAAAGTAGCTTGCTTTGACAGTTTCTTATAAGCTGTCTGCAAGTCCTGAAGAACCCCTTGCATCACAGGATACTTCTTTCAATCTTCCCGTCCTGTATCTGCCTTTAATACATAATTCTGTACTAAAGAATTGACCTCAGAGACATAAAATCCATCATCTCTTCCAGAAAGTCACTGTTAATAATGAAGTCCCTCAAAGTCAACTACAAACTGCAAACTGTACAGCCTCATTAGTTCTGCTGCAACTGATGATCTGCAACTGCTTGGAAGTAAATGAGGAAACCTGTTGTTCACACAGAAGAACAGATTTGAACAGATTTCATTTTGGCTCTGCAGAGCTCACGGAAGTAAAAAGTGGCAATAATGCTGTTGTTCAGTAAGTCAGCAGACATGAGTGTATCCACAAAGGGAGCAGATATGTTGTGCAAGAGGGTAACATTTTTTACAGTCACTGTCAGTGCTTAACCACACTCTAAACTTTCCTTTTATGGGATCATAATTATAGAAAAATACCCCGTCCCTCTCTTTTATAATCTACAGAATTATGTGTGGTAGATTATACTCTCTGCTTCACACCCATGCCTTTCATTGAACCATCACCATTAGAGCAATGACAGTTCTTTGGGAAAGAGCACAATGTAGTGTAAACAGCACCACTTTTTCTACAACTATAAATGCAGCTGTGCAACACTTTGAACTGCTTGTAGCTAATGTAAAATTTGCTGATAAAAGCAAATTCGCCAAATATATATAAATTTTCCAAAATATATCAATCAGTGGCCTCATATAGCATAATAAATATATTTGCCAAAATATATCAGCTGTGGCCTCATATAGCCTAATAAAAAAAGGACTCATGAAGCCTTTAGTCTCATGTGAGCTAGGGTAATGCTATTATCTTAATTTTACTCAGCAGCTGGTAAACTAACGTTACACACTTTGCCTTCTAAAGCATCTTAAGAAATGCTCTGCATAGCATTGCATTCCTTTGGCGACTGAGAGACCTAAATCCCATTTTCAAAAGTAATGTAGCCAATCAGGATTCCAACCTACATTTGGAAAAAAAAAATAAAAAGGCCATTTAATTTGGACACTGGGCCTAAATTTAGACAACTATCTTACAAAACTTCTGGCCAAAAGACAGCTTGTGCCTGAAGAAATGCAGAAAAAAATATCCAATTTTCCAAAACTCTGTGTAGCTTTTGGATAATGTGAATCAGCTTCTTTATTCTTGGATCCTGAATCAAATTCAGTGGAAAAAAATATGCAGTCTTACTTATTTTGTTGTTGTTATACCCAGAATTGCTGCCTTTGAACATGCAGTCCTCAGTAAACTCATGTTACATGCCAAGGTTAAGAATAACAGTAAAATATGAAAATCATGTTTTCAAGTGCTGGATGCTTGCAGGACAATGAAACATTGCATTTCATGATAACTAAATAAAAATACCTAACATCTCCTAAAACATATGACATCCAAACCTTGCTTAATCTGCTCAATAGAATCTCCTAGGGAACTAAATCAAGCAATGGTCCCTCTTGGGGATATAACTCTAAAGGACAACAGAGAAACCAACTACTCCCATTCAAAAGGAAAATCAAAATAAATAGGAGTAAGTAGTTCACCTTATTCCTTTCCCAGTATTTCCCTTTTCTTTATCCTCTATTTAGCAATGAAAAATTTGCATGAAGCTAAAAGGTCCTTCTGAAGAAAAGTGATTTTAAATTTGATGGCAAGCCAGTCTCCCCTGGAGTGCCACACATCAAGATGCATGCACACCCTTTCATACAGCACATGCTTAGCAATTTACCTGGTCTGACACACCGGTGACTGGTGTAGCCCTGCTCATTCCTTGATAGGCCTTAGATGGATCACCCCTTGCTGAGCCAGGTCCGAATCTTGGTGCTTTACCAGATTTACTAGCACTGGGGCCACTTCCTTTGCAACACCTTTCATGCATGGGGAGACAGTCAGGAAAAAAAGTTTGGCCACAGTTTCTACATGGCACCAGCTGGGCTTGAGCACTATAATCAGCTGCTTCATTTTCATCTGTAAGTGTATAGGAACCAGAACCAGCAAGGATCTCAGGTTTCCTGGGCTCTGGCCTTTTAAGGTGCTTTGGTCGCTGATTGTTTTCGATACACCACTTCTCTAGGCACTTAGGTTCATGTATAGCAATAGATTGTGACCCAAATTCTCTTCCACAGATATAGCATTCCTTGAATGGAGGTCTTCTTGGCAAGGGTGTTTGAGACATGTCTGAAGAATCTGACTGTTGTGATATTACTGCAGTGCCTGGTCACCTTTTCTGGGATGCAGCTTCTAGGTGTACTACTTTTTTGGGGAAAATTCGGGGAAGATCTGTCACATAAGATCATGAAGCTTGCTCTAAAGGCAAGGTGCTAGAGGTAATAACAGGGGCTTCTTCAGCACTTGATAGAATACTGCAAGTTTTGTTCACGTTGTTTTTCCTGACATTTGTTTTCATGAAGGGTATCACATTTCAGGAAACTTCTCTCTCCTACGCAAAAAGAGCTTGGGAAAGTCTGTTATTCAAAATGATTCCACATCTTCTTAATCCACTTTCATGGGCCAAAATATATTAGGGACTTCAAAGCTGGAACACTGAATGTTATGGCTGTTTCAGGAGAGAAAGGGGGTTTCTGTGTGTTTTCCTTTTGTCTTTTGTTCTTACATGAACCTGAAACAAATGAAATAAGTATAAATTAATAAATGTGTTCACTCTAGTTAAGGTTCCAAACCACTGGTTTATCACAAGGCATAATTAACCTTACTAATCTGTTATATTTTTAAATAGCAGATAAATAACATCAAATATATTCTTAACCGCAGTGATCAGCTGAACAATGTAAATCCTCTGGTCCCAGAGGATTGTAAAATCATGAAGGACATGAAATAAGATGGGTTTGCACAAAGTGAAACTGATGACATGAGAGCGTTGGGTGTATAACCAATATGCTTTATTTTCAGTTACTGATATAACTGGTATTTCTTCAATTTATAAACTTTCAAAGGATATAAATTGAAGATACTAAAACATCATTTCCCTTTCTTCAGAGACATAAGAAAAAGTCCTTCAGTAGAGAGACATCAGTGTCCAATCTACAAATGGACAGTCAGAAAGGAATGTGTTCCCAGTCAATTTGGTTGAAGGAGGTAATTAGGTCCCTAAAGTCAGCACTTGTGGTGTCTCAAATTCTCTGACCAGTCTTGATTCTCCCAGTACAAGAGTGTTATTAATGAAATGGAGCAGGCTTCTTAATAATCAGGCTTATTGAGGTGCTTTGGGGGCTGAAGTACGTGCTGGATGAGAGAGAAAGGGGACTGCATTTGTTTAGTCTCCAGATATTAGAAGCTATGTTTCAGTTTTTCAATGTCCAGACTACCCCTGTAAACAGATAAATTTGTGATTTATCCCTTAAATGTTCATTTCTTCCAGAGTTTTGGGCTGGTCTTCCAAGGATTAAAAATATGTAATTCAGACTGTACACATGTATGGCAGAGGCTACTGTTTTAATTGCATGGAAAAATAAAAAACAAAATTAGCACATTGCATAGATAAGCAACTGCCAAGGACAGTCTACTTTATCTCTAATATGAGAAATATCTGGCTAAAGTAATCTTGCCCTTACTGAATATTCCAGACTTTATCTCAATACTTCCAAACTTGTTGGGGATTCCTAACACACAAACATATCCACACTGGCTATCTTGGTGTCCTGGTTCACTTCCTCTGCTGCAACCATCCAATCTGGACGTTTTTACTGCTTTTTTGCCATGTCACCACTGAAGACTTTGTTCTCAGTCAGCCGCCTTTTCACCCTTATCTGTCCCACCTCTAAACACTTGGGCTGAATTTTACTATACCCAACTACAATGACACAGTCTGAGAAGCAGACTGAGCTCATTCTAGTCTCTTACAAATATTATAATGGGTATTTTAAGTACAGGGACAACAGTGAAAAATCAAGTTGTCACCAGGTTCATATGAGTAGTCATCCTTTTGCCAGGTACACAAAAATGTTGAGATTGCTGCGTTGACACTGCTTGCTTAAATACTCACAAAGCTGCATATTTCTGGAACACTTGGGATACTTTCTTATTTTACAGAAAATTCCTGTGAAACTTGTATTTATTTGTAGGCAAACTGGAAAATGTGAAGACCATCAGACCCAGTCTGTGATTTGTACTGGAACAAATCTGTGAGCAACTATGTTGCATCTAGATGTTAAAAATAAAATTTTTGAGGACCGTTATATTTGATGCATTCAAAGTTAACACTTCATCCAAAACTGTATTAGATAACTGCAATAAGCTGAAAAACAGGGTGAAGTGTGTGGCTGTAGTATCCTCTCATGTCTGAAGCTATCAGGTGTATCATCATGATATACACTGATGGTTACACAGAACTATAGCACTGGAATTTTTAGTTCAGATATCAAAATAACAGGTTCAGCAGTATGTGAAATTTAAATTTCTAGTATTTAGGCTACTAGCTAAAACTAGTACTACTGCGAACTAGTATTTAGACTACTGTACTGCAAGGCTGTTTGAAAGACTGGGAGAGCTTCCAAGGAGGGTGGCCTGTTGGATGAATCCAAGTTGGGAAATAGCCAAGCCCTTTCTGAGGATGAAGGGAATGGAGAGCCAGGGAAACATTAAAGGGTCATGAAGGCAGGGGAGATAAGGGTTATTGGCAGGTCACAGGAAGGGAGCATCAGAAAGTTCAGTAACATTTCAGGGAACTTCTGAACTTTGCAAGGTCCTATTTATGTCCTATTTATTGATTTATGTCAAAAAGAAACTTTCCCATACCTGAGAGGATTCTTAAAGCAACAGTGAACACTGAGCTGCCTGCCATATGAAGAATGTTAGGTGACTAAATCTGTTGCCATTAGGAATTAATCAGTCAATAAAAGATACTACAAACAATCTATTAACAATATAACCTATTGTTGGATTTCCAAGCTTGCTATTGTAAATACTTCATAAGAGAATTATGCTTCCTTGTGGGGATTACACCATTTGGTCTACATTTATTCCTGCCAAGTTCACTGCTATTATTTGGAAACATCCTATAAATTCAGTGAGAAATGAAAAGGCATGCGGGCAGTTCAAATCTTCTCTCAAGCTCAGTGGTAAAGATGTGGAAGTAATGTGGATTTAATAATTCAAAACATAAAAATTTCTTGGTTTTCTTTTTAAAATATTATAATATGTTTTAATAAATTGGGAAGGTACAGTTGATCATTGCATAGAGCTATGGGAAAACATTTCTCTTCTCTGCAATTCCAATGAGGACAACACTTAAAAATAATTTCATGAACAGAAGTATAACTAGTGGAGAAATCCAATGCAATTAAAAGCAAATGAAAAAAGCAAATGGCTAGTTTAGAATCAGGATAAGAGCTTTGGTCTAACAAAAATAGAACAGAATTATGAGAGCGCAAACAGCTCAATCTATCATATTCTTGTCCTGAAGTGGGAATGGGAACGCTTGCACACAGTTTTTAAATTTCACCTAATCAATTGCAACCATAACATTATTGCAACATCAACAATAGAATTATTAACCATACCAGAAATTGCAACAACAGTATTATTAACAATGCTTTACTTATGCTGCCTTCTCTTAGCTGCCATGTGTGATTCAACCTATTGAAGTGGAAACTTCTTCCCTGAAACAGCCTTCGTTATGTCTTGTTTCATGTCAGTGTTGGAACTTGGAAGCAAAGTTGACACATACGTTTCCTATTTCCTGTATGCAGCCCATTTCTGAAGAGCAACCCTCTCTGTTTTTCATCTCTCTTGATTCTCTCATGGAAACAATTCCTCAAAAACCATTATAAAGTAATTTTATAAACCTGAATTCCTTGATTGAATTGAAAAAAAACATACTTTTGTTAGCTGGGGGGTTAAACTGGCTATTTCCAATTAATCCGCAACACTACTGTTTTTGACTTAGCTAGAATTCCACACAGAGACCTCCCAGCTATGACAAAAACAGAGTTTACCTTATGGAAGATCACATTGCATGAAGCTTCCTACTACCAAGACATAACCATGCCTATTCAATGGATGAAATACAGGAACAGCTCTGAGAATTTGGGGAATCTGTTTTTGTACAGTTTATGGAGGCTGACTGGTATCATAGCCTTTCCACGTGTAGCTGGATCAGACTGTAAACTCTATTTAATCTATATGGCTGGTTTACTGTCACTATTCTAATCTGCCAGCACAGAAACATAAATCTTTGCACCACATAAACACAGAGCTTTCAAGCTTACATGTCAAAAACACCCCAAGAACCTTTTAGACATGTTTGACTCCACCTAAAAGCAGAGACAATTTCCAGGAAGACGATAAACAAGCAAAATAAGCAGTGGGAACCAATTACTTTGCTATTTTTTTTTATAAGTCCTAGATAAAGCTGAGAAGGATTTATATGAAGTACTTGCTTCAGGTGACAGTGGCTTAAATCCAAGAGGCTCTTTGGAGAGGTCATCTATAATTGCAGATTGCTTGCAAAAATCAGGACTACCATAAGAGAGTTATGAGAATGTCTGCACAGGCTGATCTGCTTGAAGGAGAGGATGAAAGGCTACAGAGACACATAAATGAAGAGGAAAATATATGGGTCCAAAATGGTGGCAAATACAAAAGCCTGGCAGAAGCCCAGCTACAGATAGGTTGGTTATCAGTGTCAAAAAAAGAATAGACTAATTTTAGCTTGCAGAAAGGAACTGGTTCATTCATTATCCTGGATTCAAGAAGTCTTGGTTGTGGATACCCTCGTTTATGTAAAAGCCCACTTCACTCTAAGGTTTCCCTTTGTTTTCCCTTTCTTCAATACTACACTCAATGTTGTATATTTATTCTGCCTGCCCATCATGCATAAGCTTTCTGTTTGTGACACCATGTTGTCATGTGGGTCATTTAATAAGGGGGATTTATGTACATTGGATTTAATTCACAAGAATTGTAAAAGAAAAGATTTTACCTGTCTTATAAATTGGAAATGTCTCAAATAGCTCTAAGTGAGAAGCAACAAGCAAAAGCTTCTTGTACTACAAGGGCACCCAGAGACCCTTGTTTTTCAGTTTGGGCTGGACTGTGTAAAAAGATAGAGGAGAAAACTCAGTATAAGAGGATATAAAATATAGAGATTAAACAAGTGATCTGCCAAGTACAATACAGCAAGTCTGATAAAGAAGAAAATTAATTTAGATTTTCTAG